TTCGGATTGTAGAGAGTTATCCGGTGTTCCCAAGCGTTCACCCAACTAAGTAATGACCAGGCTCGATCTTGCTTAACTTTGGTAATCGGTCGATAACCTGTATTTTCAACATGATTTGGCCCTTGGCGGTTGATTCCTTGCAGTGTTGCTTGAGATGACATAATCCAAAGGAGGATCTGTAATGTAATCGATCCTGATCCATCATCTCGACTTCAGTCACTTTCTCTGTCTTTTCGATAAATAGTTTCATGGCAACTGCTCTGGCGAGTTTTTTTTCCCTTTGTGCCCTGAATACATGAATTTAAGCGTACTACTAGATTGGCATCTAGGTATCCCCCTTTTACTGTTGAAAAACAAAATACATCCGCGTATTCTACTCCAGCAACTTCTTTGCTTGAACTTCTCACCTGTGGAGCGCTCTTCCATTGTTTGGTTCCATAATAACAATAATCTTCAAAAATTTAAATGCAATATCAATCGCTATCTTCGGTCTACTTGATTCCTTTCCATGTTTGTCATTTTCTCAAGTCTTTTTGGCCTTTCCTCCCTATTCCCATTCCTCACCTTCAACAGTAAGACCCTGCGTACTAATGGCACTCTCGTCTTGCTTGGGTGAAAAGATAGTTAAAAGCAGTTTTTAATCAATTCATTCCAAGCAAGGCGATAAAGCCACTAAGACGCAAGACGCTACTGGGAGTGAAAGAGAAAACTTTAGAATGAACTAGAAACTCAATTCTGAACAAAAGAAGGGATAAACCTTTACTCTCCTTCAAAAGACCGGAGAGGAGTGTGAACCGGACGATTTATTTTTCTTTGTCATTAATTATATCTGCATATGTTTGTTTGTCGATAAAGTCGTTCCGGAGTTATATATTTATATTTTTTTAATGATGTCACCCCGAGTAAGGCAATGAAGCCATTAAGACGCAATGGGTTATGGAGTATTAAAGAACAAGTATTAAGGCAATAGAAAATAACGATTGTCATTGCATTTATATTTTTGAAGCTTAACGTTGACTGGAAAGCAAAGAACCGAACGAGAGGTCCACACGCGAAATGTGCGAAGGAAGAAACTGTTAGCATAGTATTTACTCTTACTTCAACTGTAAAATGATAGAACCATACCACCTACATAGTCCTGCGCTTAATTTAATAAAGTGTAGATGCCATAGAGGAAAGCACATCTGAATAATTACCATTAAAGAATTTATAGAAAAGACACAGAGAAGCTACGTTCGATGACGTATGGTGGCCATTAATAATTAAGTATAATTCAAGACTTCAATGTTAAACTATTTAATTACGACCGCAAATAAATACTTAACAAGAACAAATAAATAACAGTCAACCAAAGATAATTAACCATTTCAGTGAATACCTTGTTAGTAGAGCGGCTCGGATTAACTTCCGGGAAATTCTAAGTCAAGACCCTAATTATCGACGCACTATAATTCACACTAATTCGACTGGATAGTTCCACTCTGTAGTCACTCAATAATCACTGCAGTCAGTAGCCTCACACTGCTGTTTATACACCTGGCGGAAAACGTTTATTCCTAAGGACAGAGTGTCACACTCGAACCTCGGTGTCGGCAGTTACTCATTTTCTTCATGTATACTACGTTACGACGGTGGGATGTGAGTGAAAGACGAGATGCCAGGTCAGGACCAATAACATTGCAGATACTATTTTGGAAGTTATTTATATATCTAAATATATAGCAGGAGCACTAGTCGTATGGGGCAGCATTATTCAATGCATTGATAAATGGTAAATATGTAAGATCGATTCTGGTGAGAAAAATTGTCTAGCACGATACAGTCAACCAACTTTCCTATCTGCACACATAGCAATTTTTTCAATATAATGTTTCCATTGCATGTCAGCAGAAAACGTCAATTCGTGAAAGTGCAATGAACTACCCTGGAGGTTTAAATGTTTGAATCGTTCTATAGTTATACATTTATATACTCATTTTTAACAATGCAACCATTTGTTCATATCTTTGTAACCAGGCACCAAATCGAGCCTGACTTTTGCGTTTATAGTTACTTTCGATGGTGAACATTTAAAATAAAAAGAAATGTCTAAACAAAAAACTCGGATGTCAATAAAAAGCCTCACACAATCAAAAGACACACACTATTAAAAACGGTAATCATTTTGTGTCGATTAAATTTAATAATCGACTTTTTCAAGTTACGAATAATCCTTACCAGACGAGGAGGAAATTCTGTCAGAAATTGTCCGAAGTTTATATCGGAAGTAAATTACAGAAAATATAATAAAATCTATCGACTTGCCTAAATCATCATCAGAGTAGGTAAAGTCAATTGGTGAGTTTAGTGAAATTTTGTATTGCTGTAAAAACGCTATCTTTTTGTTAAAAGTATGTGATGAAAATACGTGGAGCGCATCTAAAATCGTAGAACGAATGAGAGTGTAAAGTAAGCAAAGAGTGTTGTAACGTATGTGAAGTGTGATATATATATATATATA